GAGTGATCCTTTTTGATTTAAAATGTGCTAGGAAGGTTCTTTTGGAAGGTGGGATCCGTTTCCTTCCTAACACTTGAATAAGGTAATTAAAAAATCAGATCTCAAGGGAAGAGGAGCTCTCTTCAAGTTAACAAAAAAAAAAAAAAAATAATCAAGGTTAATCAAGGAACCTGTACAATTAAACCCTGCTACCGTGTTCTCTTGTGGATAACTTTTGAAAGAGCGGTACTGCTAATTCTGTTAATTCAGCTAACTTAACTCAGACTATGACAACAGAAATCCAGGGAGTGGATCAAAGAATCAAAAGCAATTCCAAGAATAAAGACATGGAAACCTAGAAGGACAAAATAACACATCATGAAGCAAATATGGAATATATCATGTATTAAAATGTGAAACAAAGTTGGCAAAATTTTAACCCAATGACTATATGTAACATGAATTTTATCAGAGAAATGTGCAGTGATCATTGGGAAGAAAAAAAAAAAACTGATAGAAGCTTCCAGTGTTTACCTATTTGTTGCTTCTCATCAAAATTTGATCCTGAAAAGATTTTTCAGGGGCAACAGCAGAATAGTCTCTGCCCTGCTGCTTTTCCTCTCCTGCTGGATGCACTTGGTAGCTATTGCGCTCTGCGGGGTGCGAGTCCTCCCCAGCGCTCTTCATTGCGACACAGGAATACTTGAAAAGTAGAGATTTGGAGTTAGTTACTTATTCTTTCTTGAAAGCTGTTTAAATGCAAAGTCACTCCGGTGTGTTTGTTTGTTTACACGTGACAAAAAGCCTGCAGCCCAGTTTATTTCACTGCGTTTAAGCGCAGATCTCACCAACGCCTGAACTCAATTCACACCTGCGGGACGACCAAGCCCTCGTTCACTGCACGCTCAGAATTCGAGCCCAGCCGCTCCTGACCGCCCTCCGGAGCGATCCAAGCGCTTTATTCTCCCGTTAAAGCAAAGGCGCCGCGCGGCCCCGCCAGGCGCTTCCCTCACGGCGGGTGCCGCGCTGCCCGGGGCCCAGCGTCCCTCGCCCAGCAGCTCCGCGCGGCCACAGCTCGGCCTGACCCACAGGGCTCTCGAGGCCAGACCCCCTTGGAGCCCAGAGCGAGCACGGAGACCGCCGCCACCCCAACGGTCGCAGCCCGCGCCGCGGCGGCGCCGCACGCCCCGCCCCGCCCCAACGGTCGCAGCCTGCGCCGCGGCGCCGCGCGCCCCGCCCCGCCCCCGGCCGTTGGTCCCGGCCGCGCGGCGCTCCGCGGCCAGCCAGGTCAGACGGCGGCGGCGGCGGCGGCAGGGCCGGCCCCGGTCCGGCGGGGTTTGGTGGGGAGGGATGGAGGGCGGTTGGGGCTGGGGACAGAGCGCGGCGCCCGGCAGCGGGGCGGGCCTGCGGCCCTGGCCTCCGGCCTGCTCCGCCGGCCGCCCCGGCCTGCGCGGGGTTGGCACGGACAGGCTGCCTAAGATGTGAATGTTGTGTAAACGTGTGTTGGTTATGCACGGTTAGGGAAACGAGTTTGGGGCACCAGCTGTTGATGAGGCCTCTTCTGCGCTGCCTCCCATCCAGCTTTGGCAAGGGAACAGCTTTCCCTGGGGAGGGAGTATTTTTAAGATGCCTTTTTTTTTTTTTTTTTTTTTTCCTGGATACAAGGAAAAGCTTTTTCCCCTACGGAGAGGGACAAGCGGCAGAGCTGGCTGCCCAGAGAGGCTGGGCAGAACCCATTGCTGCGCGTTTAGCAGACCCAGCTGCAGAGCAGCCCCCTCTGCGCTCAGGCCTGGCCTTGCCTGCAGCTCTTGAGGTCCCTCCTGGCCTGAATTATCCCTCATATTATTTCTTTATAGCAAAGACTGCCTTATGTTCTAGTATATTTTACTTYCCTTCCTCTGCGGATGAAAAAGCAGAGGTTGGATGCTGACTCTTACCATGCCTGTCTATGGACACCACCTATTACTGCTCTGTGYTTCTCCACAAACTGTTTAAATCCTATCCCTGCTGCTTCTTTCCAGGTAAACACTYAGCCTTCCCAGTTGGTTGGAAAGTTAGCCTCGATCCCTAGCAGTTTCATGTCCTACTGTACAAAATTAGGGCTGGGAATAGTTTGCAGTAATGGTAGTGACTGGCGGGCAGTAGTAGTCACACTGTTGCTGTCCTCAGTGAAACATTTCGTGAAAAGCAGAGCATGCACAAAACATTCTTTTTGCTTCCAAAGCGAGATTTCAGTCTCAAAATATACCTGTGTTTTTCAGTGATGAATCAGTCGGATGATGCTAGAATCCATTTCCTATGGATTCTTGCAGATAGGAGACCCATTAAAAAAAAAAAACCTTTCACTGTACTCCAGAGATAAGTCACTGGAGCTGTGCTAACAAGCAGCATCTCGGATGAGGGAGATACCTGTTTGCTTCCTCACTGCTGTGGTGACCGTGGCAGTAAGASGCTGCTGCACATGGTGAGCACAAACTTCCTGCCTGGACAGGCATTTTTTTAATCTCTCAAGTGACTTGCAGTACAAAGTTGCAACGGGTTCTGTGCGTCGTAGCAATATCCAGCGAGAGCTTTGCAAGAACCCTGAACTCTTGGAACAGATTGTGCAATAATGTTATTTTAGGAGCTGAGTATTTCCAAGAAAGCTGGATTTGTGACATTGCCATTTACAGATTCTGAAAGGGGGTTTAGTATGCATTTCACCAAATCATCGCTCTAAAGGGCTTTTCAGGACATTAGGATACATTTATTTTTCTTTAATACTTTATAATTAGTTTATTAGGAGGACTCCCAAGTTTCCAGTCAGATGTGCTTTAGGAAATGAAGCTTTCTTTGTAAAGTATTTTGTGTTTCTCTATGGATTATCCTCACTAACAGCAGGAAAAAAGGACTATGTTATCAAACATTTTCAGACAACTGATATAAAACTTCTTTTAAGAGAACTTCCCACAATTTTCATGTCAGATCTTGGAAAAACACAATTTATCAGAATTCAGCTGCAGTTATTTTAAAAGTGTTATACCTAATAGGGAAAAATAACTCTCTATTTTATGTGACTCCATTGCTCCCAGGCAATTTTGTTCAATAGCTTGCTCACACATCCAAGTGAGAGTCAGGATTAGTTATTTTCCCAGTTCGCACTTCTTTGTAACTGTCACCTAAACATCCCAGAGGTACCAAGACACCATTTTCCACAGCCATTTCTAGCAGAAGCTTTAATGAAGGAGGCCCTGGCCCTTCAGAGACTGGCTTCTGCAAACTGGACCCATGGAGGCATGCAGCTCACAGACTGTATGGCACAGAGAAGGGCAGTGACTTACCTGCATTCTGCAGTGCTTCGGAGGCATTRAAAATAAAATGCTTGCTCTGTGCTTTAGTCTGTGCCTGCTGGGCAGCACTCGGGACTTAAGTTCATGGAGATAAAATCACTAGCCCCGGGGCTGTGACACAAGCAGATTCATTAGGCAATCGGATTTTGCTACAGATACTTGAAATAATAACTAGAAGATAACTGAGTTAACAAAGTTATCTGTTAATAACATAAGCATGCATACTGTAAATTATTTTTCTTAGTCTATGACTGTATGCTGCAGTAGAATGAGAAGAACCCAGCTTTAAGAAGCTGAAAAGTGTGAGCTTAAAAGCAAAAGTGCACTTTCTTAAGTTGCAGTACTTTACCATAGGAAAATATTTAACTCTGCCTATAGCTGAGTGCAGTCTCCATCATGTTAGTTCTCTGAACAGGCTGTGTCTTTTCTGAAAAGATGTGATATAATTGAAAGAAAGCTGGAAGGTTTCACACAGCTGTTCCTACAGTCACCTTTTAGGTGTGTGCTGTACAACAGCCTAGATGATGGTAAGTCTACTTAAAAATGAGCAAACAAACAAGTCTTTATGTTCATGAGGATATTTTTTGAAGCACACTATACTTTGCAAGAAATGAAAGCAACTRTAAATTCAGTTGTGAAATAAAGATATTTTGGGCATTTTTTTCCCCTCACTTTCAATTAGAGCAGTTTTAAGTATGATCCTAGCAGCAGTTAGCACAGGCACTTCAGAGATCAGSAATGCCATTTCACGCTTGCTTCCAAAATTTATCACAGCAAGTGTCATCCAGGAAGTCAGAGACCTTTGCTGCCACCTGTTTGCATTYGATCCCTGCCCCTGCATGTGACCTAAGTACAGAAATACGGTGCCTTTGCAAGGGGCAGCTCAAGGGAAGTAGGTGCCAGGAGAGACAGCCTCAGGTGCAAGGSATCACGCCGTGCTTGTTCCTTCCCCCCTGCCACCCCGCCGAAATGCCCATCTGCTCATTGAGCCCCAGCGAACCAGCTGTGCTAGTGAAAAACACATACACAGATAAGTGGCTGGGAGGATTTATTTCCCTCCTCCCTTCATTATAAGGAGAAGAATTTCAAAATGTAATTAAGCCATAACCTGCTACGGAMGGAGCAAGTAGCTCCAAGCAGCAGGACCCAGGACCCACAAAAGAACAACTGGCACTCCAAACAACATTTGAGAAATTAAGCAAATATATTCAGAAGAATTAAGATGTGCAAGCTTGCTCTTTTTTTTTTTTTTTCTTTTTTTTTAATTCAGTAGAATTAATGTCAAACCAAACTGTGTGGTTTTTGTTTCAATGTTTGTAAGCGGTAATGTAATAACAGGCTCGGTGTGCAGGAAGTGGCCAGCTGGTTCTTGCATGATTTTCTRTGAGCACTTACATGGGCAGAGCGCTGTGCCCTTCCAGGTCGGCTGCAGCCACGTGTCCTTGGCCCAGGGAGGCTTCAGCCAGAACATAAACCTTTCAGAAGTCCTTTCTTTTTCCTTCACCTTTAGCTTCCAAGCTGGATTTTGTGCTAATAACCTCATTATAACCTCTCATGGCTGAGAGCATTTTTCTTTATGTCAGCTCGGATGTAAATGCAGTGCCTCCGAGGATATTAGGGGGTGCAATTTGTGCCTTATGTAACGTGTTTTCTGAGAGTTGTTTTTCTGCGTGTGCAGGGCTGCGTCCCGCGATGCTGCGGGGAGCCGCTCAGCGTGCAAGAGACGCCTTTGCGCTGCGGCTGCCGGGATCCCAGCACCCCAACCCAGCGCTGCATTTGTCACCCCTACGGCCAGAATTGGCAACCAGAAGCCTTCGACCTCACTCCCACTGCACAACTGATAGAACGTCAAGAGAGGAAAAYAAAGCAATTATTGAGAGTCTCTACGGATTGTCAGTTGATATTAAGAAAATACGCAGACTAAAGGAATGGGTCCTTTTCCAGGATGTGGCCTATGTTAAAGAAACTGCTACCATCCTGCAAGAAATGGGAGCGGATGAGGCTACCGTAGCCAGTATTTTGGAGYGCTGGCCAGAGGCAATTCTCCGAAGCCCTGCAGAGATAGGCTCTCAGAGAGAGCTGTGGCAATTAGTGTGCCAGGATGAAAAACAACTCATTAAATTAATAGAGCAATTCCCAGAGTCTTTTTTTACTATTGAGTTTCACGAGAATCAGAAAGCAAATATTCTGTTTTTTCAAGAGTTGGGACTGAGGAATAATATAATCACAAGGTTCTTGACAAGTGCACCCAATATTTTTTACAATCCCGTTGAGAAAAACAAACATACAATAAAGACTTTACAGAGAAGTTACCTGAGTTTAGGAGGTTCCGATGCAAATATGAAGATTTGGATACTGAAGCTATTGAGCCAAAATCCGTTTATTTTATTAAATACTTCCACTGCAGTCCAGGAGAACTTGGAATTTCTCCAGAAGAATGATTTCACTAACCATGAAGTTCTGCAGTTGCTGTCCAAACTTAAAGGCTTTATTTTTCAGCTTACTCCTGCTAGCATGCAGAAGAGTCTGCTTTTCTCCAAAAATGTCTTTAAGTGCAGTGATCAGGAATTAAAACACCTAGTGCTCCGATGCCCAGCCCTTCTCTACTACTCCGTTCCCATTCTGGAAGAAAGACTCCAGGCACTGTTGAAGGAAGGAATTTCAATAGAGCAGATCCAAGAGACGCCAATGGTGCTCGAGCTGACAACACAGATTGTTCAGTACAGAATTAAAAAACTCTCTGCTTTGGGCTATAATGTAAGGAGTGGAACTCTAGAGACTTTGAATGGTACTAAGAAAGATTTTGAAGTCAGTTATGGTAAGATACAGTCAAAGAAGGAGAGACCAATGTTCAATCCTGTTGCTCCTATAAAAGCTGAAGACTAATTTGAAGGCTGTGCTTGAAAAAATGACCAAGGAGAAAATAGAACTCAATTCTTTTAGAAGATCTTAATCAATTCCTTAAGCAAACTTGTTACACCACACTTGTTCTCAAAAGGGGTTTTATGCATAAGTTGGTTATAAAAATATAGCTAAAAGTAGAACTTTCTGGCACTTTCCAATACTGCCTTAGAACCTGACTGTAATGAAAACTGACTTGCTGTAATGAAAACTGACTTGCTGTGGTTTACATAAAGACTTATCCCCTTCCCCTTGCTCCCCCCGGGATCACCTCACACGTGGGTATTTGGTTCTTTTGCACTTTGTTGTTCACCTGGCTACTTGTTTTTTGGATGTTCAGCTCTATAATTGCACAGTGCAGTGTGTGGCACTGCTTAGAATAATCTCCATTTGCGGAAAAGGAGGATSATTTACCCAGTAACGCTCATCAACCCACCGGTACACTCAGCTTTGAAGCCTCTCTTAGGACTCTCTTCCTAAATCCAGCTCCTGAACTGAAGCTGGCAATTTCCTGGGTGGGAGGACCACTTAGAGCAGAGTTTGAGACTAGGGGGAAGACACTCTTCTTAAATAGTGATCACTAGAGTGAGGCCCTRTTCTTTATAACCTACAAACTATGATGCTAATAAACTACAATGACATTCTCCTTTAAATTTTTAAGACTTAAGAATTAATTCTGTAAAAAGTTTGGGGGAGGAGGAAAGACATTTATTGCACATGTCTAGTCCTGAATTTCTTCTTTTCTAGACAGGTAAAAAAAKAAAAAAGTAATCATGCTTTTATAACGGGCGTAACAAAACTCRGAGCCATGGGCGATTAAAAACAACAACCAGATTTGCAAACAGCTGCTGCAGTTTCTAAATATATTGGTGAGCCAGCTTCTCAGATATCCCTGGTGACAAGTAAGTGCTGTTTTTTTRAATAGTAACCATTGCACAGTGTTTACGTTCCAGTTATTTTGCTTTCTTTGTTTTAACGGGCTGTGAAAAATGATAAGAAATAGTAGCACCATTGCAGATGATCTCAGTAGCAGCAGGGTCACCAGTGATTTTATCCCTCCAACGGACAACTTAGCCTAAGCAGCCGGTCTGGAGACATTCCCTGCTGACAGCAGGACATACTGCAGCTACCCACAGCCATGTCCTCTGGGCCCTTCCTCAAGGTCACTTTTATAACAGACATTTTGGCAGCAAGTCCAGGGTTGCTTTTCTTGAAGAGAAGTTTTAAACAGCCGAGTAAAGTCGCTATTGGGTTACTTACTCAGAGGGCGGCCTGCAAGATGATTTTAGACAGGCTGCAAATTACCTGCCCTGAGCTGGGCAGAGACTGGAAAGGGCAGCTTGTGGCTGTGCAAGGAACTCAACAGCTGAAGGTCTTAAATCCACCTTCATGGCAGCAGCCTGTGCCAGCGGGGAGGAAAATCTGCCCCTGGAGCATGTGCCATGGGGTGAGAATTCCAGGAGAGACGTGGGTCACCAGCACAATCCACAAAAAATTGGGCTGTCCTGAGTTACTGAGCTGTTCTCTTGCTGAGCACTTCATCGCTTCCCTTGAAAGTTTAATTTCAGCATTTCTCCGGGTGCCTGGTTTTAAAATTCCTTTCTGATGCAACTCATTCCCATCATTTCTCATTTCTTGCTGTACTTCCAGTGGCAAATGGGGAGAAAAAAAAAAAAAAAGGAACATTTTTCCTTAACTGAGTCACAGCCAGAGTCATCTCAAGCATCTTTTCCTCTTCTGAGCATTAGTTTCTCCTTCTCTTTCAAAACAAAAGCATAAACAAGGAGACTCCTTTGATATACCAGCAGATCAACATGCATGCAGTACCTGCATCTCTGGGACTCACTTCTTTGTTCTTCGCAGGATTCATCTATGAAGAAACCTTGGACAAGCTGATTTCACATCCCAGTGCCAAAATCCTCGTAACCGTCTCTTTCCATTACACTGAATGCGAACAAGTTTGCATTTATATGTGGCAAAGTGTATACACACACCACCATTTCTCTCACAGAAGGGARGGCCAGGTACACACCTGGTATTTAGACACATTGCCCCTTTGGAAATGGCTGTTGTGAAATCTCCAGATTACAACCCACACTTAAAAGTTTCTCAGACCCCAGACTGAAATTAATTGATTTCTTGATTACGAGTTTTGCTGGGCACAAAGCAAATTAGTCCAGACTCTTAAGGCTGCAATCCCTGAAGAGAGAAAAAAAAAATCCTAACCTTCTTACAGGCATAAAAGTGGATTTCCTCAAGCCTCAGTTCCCAGGTAAATCAATAAGGGGCTGTGGTATCTGTGCACAGCCTACAACACAGGCTACAGTTTCAAGAGCTTGTTGACACTACTTAGGTGTACAAAAAAAGACACTTCACGGCACAAAATCATAGGAAGATTTCCCCCTTGTGTATTCACCCATCTGCCCATCTCTACGAATTAACACAGAAGCTTTCAGAAGTCCAAAACAGCAACAATTTAATGTTTCACAAGTGGCAGGACAGAATCAGAACACATCTTAGAAAAGGAGTGAGTCTCATATGTGAATGGAAAATACASAGAATATAGGACAAAGCTCTAAAACTAAAACCACATGCCACRGTAAAGCACTTCGGTTCGGGGACTCGGAGGTAATGACTACAGGATACGTCAAGAGCAAAACATGATGAAGTRTTGTTGGCTTTTACAGTCCTAACATTACGTATCTCAGACCGCGCTTGCTTTGCTGCAAGCTTCATAGTATAAAAATTACAGAATGTCCTAAAAAAGAGGTATGATCTTGTTCAACATGGAAGTTTTTGGAAAATGATTAGGAAGGGCTTGGTCAAGGGATGCCACTCGGCTCCGAGCCAGCCCTGGGGCGCAGCAGCAGCAGCAGCAGCGCTGCGGATGCATCTGTGCTCACAGCTGCAGGGGAGCAGAGCACATGAGGCCACTTGCTGCAATTAAACCGTTCCTCGTGCCAAAGCCGGCTCATTTCTGTAGCTCTCTGATAGCTCTACACTACACTGTCTTCTATATTATTAGCCTTTAACAATAATAATAATAATAAAATGGGCTTGCATAGACTTCTTTTACCCCATTCCACGCTTGCAGCAGAATGGAGCTAAGCATCTGGTGCCACCAGCACGGGAACAGGTCGTTCCATCTGTTGGGCTTTTTGGTCTTTTCTCCCTGCCACCAGCTCGCCATGCTCACTGTGTTCAGCACAAACAATTACTACTATCAAATAAAATAATCATAATAATAAAAAAACAGTTGCTCCAGACTGCAGTTAAAGTACCAATGGCTCAGAAAGACTTAAGTGGCTGCTGCACCATAACTTAAYACATGGCTTGCTTTCAACATCTGTGAACAGGAGGAAGCTTTAGACAAGTAACATTTTGATTTTATTTCTTAAAAAAAAAAAAAAGGAAAACAATTTCTCTCTGTATATATCTCCTTCTTGTACAACTGTAGCCACTGAAAAATTAAGCTTACATGCTTAAACATTTTCTGTAGGAACACAAGTTTATAGAAAATACTGCATAGAGAGTGTTCACATAATCCTCAGTCATCTGTTATGGTCCTCCAAACAAGTCACTTAGCTGCAAAGTCAGCACAGAGACCACAGCGAGCCTCTCTTTGAGGAGAGCTTCGAGCTGGCTTTGCKCCCCTCTGCTGAGGACCTGCAGATGCTCCCAGGCAAGTGAGGTATATCGAGGTTTGGAATCTGACAGCATTTCTTGGATCACGTTATTCATTCTTGTTTTCCTTTAAGAGCCTTTAATAGGGCATTTGCCCTATTTTTTTTTAATAAAAGTATTAAATTTGTTGAAATCAAAATGTAAAGTATGAGAAAGAGATGCCGTGACAAGTTTGCTGCATTTAAGTGAGAAGCTAGAAAGGAGAAGCTTCCAGCCAGAGCCAGGAGCTAACCTGACACATCATGAGCTTAAGACAACTTTGCTAGTTCTTCAGTGGTTGCCAGCTGCAGGAAGGATTCATTCAAGTTACACAGTTGTCATTAACATAGTGCTAGGTGACCACAAACCAGTTTCAATTAAGCCATCATTTTTTTTCCCCTAGTGTCTGTAGGAAGTTTATTAGAAGCAGCAAGTTTTGCACTTGCAGGAGAAAGATGTATCATTAAATACACCTGAGATTTAACAATCCTGTTTGCGGTAAAAGCTGACAAAGTTTCTGGTATCAAGAGTCATAAAGAGAGTCCAAAGCTTGTTCTGTGAACTGCACTGAAATGGCAGGACAAGTTCTTTACTCAGCTTCACTTAAAGTCACAATTAATAAGGCATGAGCCGTTACATTAGCTGGCTCTYTATGATCCCTTCTACCACCCTTCCTCACCTCTTACCTGCCGTGCTCCCTTCCTATACCCCTCCAGGTGCGTTGGAGCGCAGAGGCTTCCTGCAAAGCAGCTTCCTCAGCGAAGCTCCCTTGGGGCATCCACGAGGCCCCTTCTCCTGCCGAGCACCCTTAGCAGGGAGATGTGGACACCACCAAGAACAGCAATCGGCTGCTCACGGTGCTGCAGGGTGACCAGCCAACACTTCCGTGCTCACGTTTCAGTCCAAAACCGCAAGAGCCTTACAGTGAGGGAATATTCAAACAGGCGTCATCCCTTGGGATGCACTTCCTCGCTCCCAGGGTTATCGGGTGTAACATCTCACAGCTGCCAAGCCTGGCTCTAGCTCCTAATAAACCTTCATGCGGTGCTCGCCAAGCTTCGTCTGTCCTTTTCAGATGAAATCAAGTTACCTGCAGAGCTCTGTGGAAGAGGGATGTCTAAGACACATGGCTTCTCGTGGTCCAAAACCTGGCAGATTTTAATGCCACCAACGGAATATTCTGCAGAATCAAGTACGTCTCCGTTTCAGTGTTTTAGTCAGACTTATCCTTTTTCTTCCCCGTCAAAGGCATTTTACTGGCAACAGCAGATCCTACAGCRGTGACGCCTCCAGCCACAGCCGAAACGCCTCCCTTGACCAGCCCCACTCCCACCGAGGGCACCGACGTGACCGCCGTCTTGGTGATCTCCAGGCTCTTCCCTCCGATCCAAGCGACGCCGCCGATGGTGGCGCCGACAGCYCCTCTGGTGACGCTGAGGAGGCCGCCCGTGACGCGGGAGAGCACGCCGGGCTGCTGCTGCGGGTGGTCCTTCAGCGAGCCTGCGGAGCGAGCGGCACGCGCGTCAGCCGGCCCGCGCCCGGAGAATCCCTGAAGGAACGGCAGGAGAGCACCTCCAGCCCCGCCGCCACCACCCGCCACCTACTGGCTGCGTGTCTCAAGCAACACCCTTGTTCCACATAAGATGACACTTCGCTGTAGGCGAGACATCTCAATAAATCCCAAAATGGTTGGAACCTCTAGAGATCATCTAGCCCAACGCCAACTCAAACAAACAGCTTCTCATGCACACCCAGGGAGTTTGCAATAATGCTAGAACTGACCCAGAACTAAGTACGCGCTCTGGGTGTCCCTGTTGGACCAGGGGGGTTGGACTAGATGATCTCTCRAGGTCCCTTCCAACCTTAACCATTCTRGGATACTCATTAAAAATAATAAATAATAAAAAAGACATCTCAAAGAGTGGATTCTTTACTGTTATTAACAAATTCTAAAGTAACAGCCAGGCACCCACCAGCACAGCGTGCAAAGCCAAGCTAGGCTCTTTCCATCTCATGTATAAACAGCAGAATAAACCTATCGGACCYGAACTGCATCTCTGGAAACTGTGCCTACGGTCTGTCTTTCACTGTCTGTCCCCAGGGCTTACCATTTATCAGCAGTTGTTTACTAAGTTGTAATCAATCTAAGTCCACTAAGTTACTGCCAAGTTATAGTCCTGATTTGTATCAGGATAATATTAATGGGAAAAAGAATCTTGGCTCATCCCATTCCATTCCAGGGCTGGTTTGCTTACKGTTACTTAAAACAAAAGCTGGGAGTGTTTTAGCCTGCAGATCCATTTTGGAGAGTTAATTGAGCTGCTGATGGACTTCTGTRAACCTGCTTGATAACATGAGAACTGGTACATACCTCCTGGCAGCTCCTCATGCAGGTACGAGGGCACATCCTGCTGATTTTTGTCTGTTTGATTCATTATTGCCTAAAAGAGAAATTCACATACACTGCATTTCTTTTCTGGCAAAGTACAAACGTTGCCTTTAAATCTAAGATTTAACACTTAACATTTCATAAGGAAGAAACTTGGTTTTCCTTACTGGGTTAGCCTGCTAACCCAACTAGTGCTGTTTCTACTGCCAGACTGGGCTTTAACACCACTCAAACCGATTCAGTGCTTGAAAAAGAAACTTCACGAGGTCGGCAGGTTTGGTGCTGAGCMGCCCTCCTTGCCAGGTACCTCTCAAATGCAGAGGTCAAGAGGAAAAATGGTGTGAAAGCAAAACAGCCTGTGCCACAGAACAGCTTATGTCTGTGTATGAAAGAGGAGATCAGCGGTTGTCCAGGGTGGATGCTAGAGAAGCAAGAGCAGCCTCTCCCGAAGGCTTCATGCGGCCTAGAGAGCAGCACACTGGGAAAGGGAAAAAAAAACACCCCCACACACCAAGAACCAATCCCCCTTGTGGTGGAATTTGAATGAATGTCRTGAGAACAAGACTGAACCAGTGTAACAAAAGCCCCCGGGCCATCCTGCCAGGGTGCTGCACGTGCGGCAGCAGGACAAGCTGCCTGTTTAACCGTGCGCAGGCGTCCGAGGCAGGCAGCAGTTCCCAACGCCTGGAAAAGCTGTTTGGTGAAGCAGCCCCAGAGCAGCAGCCCCGGGCAGAGGGGCAGAGCTCGGCAGGAAGCCGAGATCAGCAGCTCTGCCCCCTGCACTTCCCCTTCTCCAGAGGGGAGAGAAGGACTAAGTCGAGTTTCACAGAACCACAGAGGGGCTGAGGGTGGAAGGGGCCTCTAGAGACCATCTGGTCCAACCCCCTGCTCCAGCAGGGACACCCAGGGTGGCATCCAGCAGGGATCTAAATATCTCCAGAGAAGGAGACGCCACCGCCTCTCCAGGTTGTCTGTTCCAGGGCTCTGTCACCCCCGCAGTCAGGAAGTTTCCCCTTCGGCTCAGGCCCATCCTCCTCCTGTGGCACCGGCAGCAAACCGGCCCAGGGTGCCCTGTCCCCATCCCTGGTCACCCACAGAGGAGCCGGACAAGGGAGGCGCCAGTCCCGACCCCTGGGGACTCCCCCAGCCACACTCTGCTCCGCTGGTCACAGGCCGCCCAGCCACAGCTCAGTGCAGCTCCCTGCCCACTCATCCAGCCCACGCTTCCTGAGCTTCCCTATGAGCGCATTACGGGAGATGGTGCCGAACATCCTGCCTCCCTCCAGCTTTCCCTCCCCRCCAAAACGTGCTTCAGGATTCGCTCCGGAGCGCCCTGCTAATCCTGCTCTGCCCTTGGCAAGGCCCAAGGGAGTCCAGCCAGGAGCAGGGGACGGGCTGYGCTGCAGCCCCAGCATCCCGCTGCCTCCCTTCCCGGCCTGGGACCCACCAGTTCCTTCCTCCCTGCCACGTACTGGCCCTTACAGTCACCTCCCTTCTTCCAGGAGACCCTCACAAAGAACTCCGGCCCCTTTTGCCTATTTCCAAACCTCTCCATCCCCATTTGGGTGACAAAGCTGGGGCTGGAATCTGAAGAAGGGATGAGGGGGCAGAAGCAGAACTTGAGAGTGGGAAGATTCACCTAGAAAGCAACAGCTAAACCGCCCCCCAGTACCAATGAGATGACAAATATCACAGCAAGAACTGGCGCCCACATCCTGAATGACACATCTCCGTATYGGAGCACAGCCTGAGCTGAATATTAAGGAGTCTCCCAGCAAGGATACCAGCTCGTGACTCAGAACACATACGCACCTTCCAAAGGCAGCTGAGCAGGAAGGGAGGCAAGGACTGCCCACCAGCAGCGGGGCTGCTTTGATGGGAATGCCGGAGCAGCCTCCTTCGGAAGGCAGGATGGAAACCTGCAGGCCGAGAAACGGGAGAGTCAGTGAGAGCACATCAACCGGGAAGAGCAAAGGCACGAAGCCGAAGGGGTAATCGGGGTGAGAAAGAAGGGGGGTTAAATAATTCCTTGTTCTTTTAGTTAATCATAGATTGCTAAGATTTTTTTTAAAGGACAAAAAAGAAAAGCACTTGACATGTCACAGAGCAGAACATAAACAGATTAAGAGAGGACAAAGATGCTAAGGACTGAACTCAGGTGCAAAGCAATTTCTTTGTACTTGTCTTCATATTATGTGAATTGGGAGAAACAAGCAGATTTCATCTTTGCCGTGACAAGATACTCATAGATTGTTTTCTTTTTCCCCCCTAAAAATGAAAACAATAACAAAAGCAGACACACACAAAAAAAAAAAAAAAAATTCTCCAAAACAAATGAACAAAGCTGAAACCAACAATCAGACACACACCAACAAATGTGACGAGAATCAGGAGCCTCAGGCTAAGCCAGATGCTGAAACCGACTGACAAAGATGGGACATTATCAAAACATCTGCATGACCTAAAGTAACTGGTGCTGGTTAACAGGGGCCCACACTGCTGGTTAGGGCAACTGCTGCATCAGGAATCCGGAAGGAGACCACAGCCTACAGGAAAACAACAACTAAAATAATTTTTAAAAGCAGACTTAAGAGGAGATCCAAGTGAACTGAGACAGACAGAAATTTCCATAAAGAACTACCTCTCTGATCTCTTGGAATCCTCTGTATGTAACACCTGAAAAAAAAATCCAGCTTGAAATTATTAGTTTGAATTTCCAGAAAGTTTCTGTCAACGATTCCTTGCAAGAAGCTCAGAAAAAAACACCCAAATATCAGGAAAGCGGACAATACTGTCAGGGATTATAAACAGATTTTGAAGGCAGTCAGGCTAAGCTATTAATGTGGAAGAACACTAGAAAGCAGAGTGTCAAAGAGCAAGAACAGGGAAAAGGCACGGATCCGGCGTGCGGAGGAGAGCTCGGTAACTCCGAACSCAGGCCGGGCTATCGCCAGGTTTCTCAGGCTTCCCATCGGCAGGTGGGCTGTGGGGCAGAGCTGCTGCCCAAAGCGGGGCAGAGCACAGGGGCGTCCTTCCAAACCCGAGCCCCTTGGCCGAGGGGCGCAGGGAAGCGCGGGGCGGCGCTCACGGGACCCCAGGGCAMTGCGGTGTCTGTCCTCTCACCCCCTGCTCCCCGCGGCTGCTCCATGCCCAGGGGACCGCGATACGGAACACAGGAGAAGCCAGGGAGGATCCACCCCCACCAGGAAAGGCTTCCTTGCGGCTGGACCCGCAAGGGTGGCTGGCACAGAGCAGAGCTCGCGCAGCCTGAGCGGGCGCTGCAGGCTTCGTTCCTCCAGGGACGCTCTCCGATGAGGCGGAGAGCCAGGACTTCCACCCAACAACAGGCTTAAGCAGCCAGTTTTAAGACACCTGGGTTAAACCCTAAGCCACACGATCTCAGAGCCCATTCAACATGTCAGGAGACTTCAGAGCCTCTTAAAGGAGATACAAACCCCAGGTGCTGCACACGGCATAACACAACTGGTGTTGCATTAAACACAGGAGAAGGTCTTAAACCCGACTCCCTTCCAGAGATTTAAGGTGGGTATTTCTATTCACTGGAGGTCAAGGACTAGAGTAACTTCCTGRTGACTTGATTTCATCCACTCTTCAGAAGACAGAGCAGGAACATTATTTTTCTTTAAACACAGGAGTTTAACAAGCAGGAGCCCTCGCTATCGCCTGTGGAAGGGCCCAGCAGCGCTCGGTGCCTCCTCGGTGCTGCTGCGGCCCGGGTGGCAAGAGCAGCTCCGGGGCACCAGGCTGCAGCCTACAGCAAGGGAAACTGCCCTGCGCCCTCCCTGCCGGGAATGTGCCCCCAAAGTGAGAAAACGCACAACTCGAGACCCCAGAGAGCGCGACTCTCGGTCCACGCCCGAGGCACCGGCCCRGGGTGCGAGGCCAGGCCTGCCGCGGAGAACGGGGCCGCTCGGATGCGGTACCGATTAAAGCTCCTCGGAAACTTCACGGGAAGCTGCAGGCTTGAAGAGCAAATCTTCCATGAAGACACAGGGACTGACAGCACTGCAACCGAAACCCAGGCAGTTCGATGAGCTTCTCTCTGCTGTTCCTCCTCCCAAGCCCTTGGTGCAGCAGATCTAGRGGACCCGGCTCCAGGCGCCCGTCTCCACTGCAGGCCGAGGTGCCAGGCTTATCTGAACTATTCCAGCAGCTTTGGAACACGTTTTTGAATTGGTTGAGACCTASCTCAAGTTTTGCTCCATCCTGAAGAGTGACTTAATTTCCTAGTTTCTTTCTGAAGGAGAGCACTGATTTCTAGCATTGAATTGCAGAGCTGGGAACTGCTTTATGCCACACTGCAACTCATAACGACATCCATGAGGATACATTATGCAACTTCACTTGCATACAGAACTAAGTTTCAGCTTAAAATTCAGGATTTTGCTAGGAGATGAAGAATTAGTATTTTTTAGTTTCATAGGGAGAGGGGTCAAGAGAAAAAACAAAAAATGGGAGGAGGTGGAGGGAGAAAGTGAGGGTAGAAAGTTAATGCATAGAATTTGAAAATCTCGTTCAGAAATTTCAAGCCTTGCAGTTACTGTAAAAGATACCCAGATATACTGCAAGGGAATTATGCAGACAAATACTTGAAGCACATGAGAAAACCAAACAGTTCAGGAATAACATCTTTTTCTAAACATCTTTTCTAAACACAAAGGAGTCTGATGTTAGAGACTTGTAACATCCTAAAGTCTTCCCAGCTTGCTATTGCTGCTGCCTTTTCTGAAGCAACTACCTGAACTAAAAGGAGCTAAGATGCTGTAATTTGCCCTGTATTTTTCCCTATTTAATATAAGTTAATATAAGTGTGGTATGCCACATGCTACTACAACATTAAAATCAAACTTAACTATATTAAAAAAGTGGGGAGGGAGGTTAATGCTTTTGATTATCAGTAAGACTTTTAAGGAATGGCTATATGCAAAAGATATTTTAATAGAAAAATACAGCCCCAAGCCTATAAGTTCTTGAAACAGGGCTCAAGCTTATTCACAGGAGCAACCACCCCGATGTCAGCAGGCTGACCTGGGTGCCTGCCTCCAAGCATACGGTCTGCCTCCTCAAGAAGTTGCCTTCAATGAACTTCTTCTATAGCACTGAGGCATCACCACTGAAGAACAGACCCTATTTGGGGATTCCAGCTTCAGTATTAATAAGAACTGAAGGAGAAGGGAAGGTACCAACTTTAAGAAGTGCCTAAGATTGTAAGCACTGAGGAAACTACAATAAATTCCCATGTTGCAGTATCGGCAGGTACAGTGTAAAACTGAAGACAGGAGCTAATGGGCAGAAAGCAGCGGTTTGCACATGCACTGCACTYGCCTCTATACATTATATATTTTATCAAACAGCATGCAATTTGGCACTGTTCTCGAAGGCACAAAATTCAGTTTGTTGAAACCCTCCATTTTCCAACCAGCYTTCTGGAAACGTCGCCTTCAGCACACTGAAGTTTTCCAAATGTTACACCATCACCTTGGTTAGAGTCTGTACTTTCATAGAGGCTGCTGGCAGGGAGAGAGGAGCACACCAAGACACGAGAACAAACAAATAAAACAGCAACAAAACCCAACTTTAACAGGTGTTCAACAAGGTTACACTGTGCAGATGAAACATAGAATAGTTTTGGCCACGTTAGCAATTTTGAAGGAACACGTTGCTTCTGATAACAAGAGCAGCTCTTAGGAGAAGCCATGATACGGAGCTCCCTTCTTTGTTATCTCAAGTTAGGGGTTTGCCTTAGCAGAGGGAACAAAGGTTTTTCTGGATTCACAATGTCACATATAAGCAGAATATGAGGGGAAAAAAGGCTACCTGTCCAAAAATGCACTAATTGCCGCAAGTTGCTGACTTTGCGCAGGATCTCTCCATCAGACTGGAGCTGGGAGGACATTCAGTTAACAAATATGCACATTTGTCTTCACATTCAAGGAAAGAAAATGTGCTTATCGGATGTGGCAGGGTAATAAAGACCATTAAGTAGCTCCAGAGCTCTCTTTTTAATGACTTACCCTTCACATGTCAGCAGAGCGATCTAAAGCACAGCYGAAATGCAGCTCTATGGTGGTAGCTTCCAACAGAAAGCAGCCCACAGCAGCCAGAAGGAGCAGAAGGTTTCACAGGCTGGCAATTCTTTCATTACGCACTGACTCATACAACGGGACAGAAATCTGAACTTTGCAACTTCCCAATTTTTTCTTTTTTTTTTTTTTCCCCCCTCTCCAGGAACTTCTTCAAATTATACTAAGATTTAAGGGGCAAAAGAGGCGGGGAGGGAGGAAATGGTTCATTGATTGACGTTTTCATCCCACGATGCCAAATTCACAAAATTATGTCACAAGAGAAAGACGCTCCTCTCTCAACACGCACATGAAGGGATCACAGAGCGCGGAGGGATCCCTGCGGAGTCCTGGCAGAGCGGCCGTGGCCGGGCAGCAAGCACAGATCCAAGGCTCCAGCGGCACTTTCCGTGCTCCCTCCTTTCCCCTGTGCAGCCTAACACACCAGCTTGGAGCTTCTGCGGTTAGTAGCTGGAAGCAAACCCAGATCTTGAGCCAGATTTCAATCAAACAGGAATACACATAAACTATCCGCTGGTTTTTGGTCCACACTTACTAGGTACTAGCCATTCAAGGGATGAGTTATCATTTATATTTTTAAAATAACATACCACCCTTCAGATTAAAAAAAAAAAGTATATTTTAAAATAATGAAGTCATTCTTTTACTTGGACTTTCTTACTGTCAAAGTATGAAAGATAAGAGAAATTTCAGTCAAAGAACCAAAAGCAAATTTCACATAGCTGTAAAGAAAGAAGTGGTTTAGAAGATTTTTAAGACTTACTTGCTATAACAATAACACCCTTATGGGGCCCTGAATGAGAGTGCTATGTAATTCTAACCAGCAATGCAGCTCCACACACACATCCACGCCGAGGCYGATTTAAGTGCAGTGATTCTCACCGGGTGTATTCCGTCGGGAAGGAGCTGCCTCTCCAGCTGTTTCCACACAGAGATTCTGCACACACCTAGAAGAAAAGGACTATGTTTAATGACATCTTAAGGAACAGGGCTACTGCCCCACTCCTGCCACGTATTTATGGTTCCCAGGACAGGCACACTTGTTTTCTATGCTATTATAAGGAAGAGTAGAGCATGGAGTAAGGGGTTTATGAGGTCTACTGAACTCGTCGATTCCTTCTGCAGTCTCGGGCAAAAGAGGGAATTTCTGTTTAACCACACGCAGCCATGGGGCTTTCTGGACCGCGTGCTAACGCCGCGGCGAGACGCAGCCCCTCCTTGCAAGTTGGGAGCTCTCGGACAGCGACGGGTACAAGACTTCAGCCTCCCGTTCCGAGGACGGCTCCGTGCCCGGCCGCTGCCCCGGCTGGGCGGCCGCTCGAAGCCCCTCGCGCTCTCCGGACAAAGAGCCGCACTGTTCCCGCAGGGCAGAGCTGGCCCCAGCGGCAGCCCCAGCGGGAGCTGGCTTGTTCCCCCGCTGCTCACACACTCGCGGGCGGCTCCGGAGCCAGGGCAGCACCCAGGCCGGCACTGCCCGCCCGGCAGGGCCGCAAACGCCCCTTCCCCGGCCAGCRGGGCTCAGGAAGGAGCACGGCTGACAGGTCAAGGGGCCTTGTTTAAGAGCCACGTTTCCGAATTCCAGATTTATCCATGAAGCAAGACTGGCTCGAGGGCAAGCGTGCCCATCTCAGAGGAACGCRGCACTGTCTGCAGTGAAAGATGCCGGCCAGCGGGATCAGAAGCTTCCAGGTATGAGCACAGCTYGCTCTTAAACGTGCGCTGGGGTGGGCTATGGAAAAACATGCAAAGTTACCAAGTCTGCCTCAGGTATAAATAACAGGCTCACAGCATGCGGGTCGCAGCAGTGAAACACACCTGTATTAAAGAGAAGAAAAAAGACACCCCAAAACCACACAATTAAAGGTAAAGGAGGAGCTATTTCTCCTGGAACAAATCAACTGCAACTTCCCAGGATGTTACTCCCAGTGTCTGCCTACAGCACAACCCAGCACTTCATTCCCCTCAGTTAGGCACCCACGAGCTCCAAGATGGGCCCTGGAAACCTCTGTGGGTGGCAGCCGGCCCCGTGCTGGGGCAGGGGCC